ATGCAGCAGGTTCAAGGGGGAATCGACGAAATCATGTCCAGACTGCATGTGAAAGGCTCCACAAAGACACATCATCAATAAAGACTTCCCACACCCTCAGTGTGGCCGACTCTGTGCATCAGGGTTCTGATTTTAGTCATATGCGAAGCTATAGATGAGAATTGCATCAGTGATGAACTACTACTAGAATATCAGGGTTGGAAGGGACCTCAGAAGGTCATCTAGTCCAACCCCCTGCTCAAAGCAGGACCAATCCCCAGACAGATTTTTGCCCCAGATCCCTAAATGGCCCCCTCAAGGATTGAGCTCACAACCCTGAGTTTAGCAGGCCAATGCTCAAACCACTGAGCTATCGCTATCCCTCCCCCTACTCCTCTAAGTTCTCATTTGTCTTGCCAAGCTACCCAGAGCATTGGCAGGCAAAGAGCACCACTGGTATTGCTGTTCAGTATTCAACTCATTTGAAACCTAAAATGTTATTCTAGCCAGACAGTGGCTTAGTCATCTATACCCTTGACCCTTTCATCCCAAAGATACAAGTCATGGCTCTGGCCTTCAGAAGTATAAATTGAGTCATCGGTAGTTTGCTCGGCAGTACTTTTGGAGGAGGAGTAAAATTTTCCAGAGTGCCTACGGCCCAGAGGCACAAGGGGACTTAGGCGTTGCAATGCTGAGCATTACAACACCTAACTTTGAGGCACCTAGAAGATCACAGGAACAGCACTGAGATCACAAAGTCCAAGTTAGGCTCCTAGACTAAGTTCCATTCCTCTCTCAGAGTTCAGTGCCTGAGTCAGGCTGCAAGGAGATGCCTATCTCTGCTAGCAATCCACAACCAGGAACCCCTCTCCCAGCAACAGGCACCGTAGTTGTTTCAGGCAAGAATGAGTTAGGTGCTTGCCTAGCTCCATTCAAAATTGCCGGGGGAGGAGCCTCCCTCCTAACCTTTAAACCAGGGCCAGTTCTAGGGGTGGGCAAGCAGGGCGGTCACCCTGGGTGCCATCTTCCAGAGGCCTCTGTGACACTCAAGTTCTGTTTGTTTTTGGCTTGGGCCCTGGGGAGGAGGGGGCTGAAAACATTTTTATCCTGGCCAGGTAAATAGCTAGGGCTCCTCTTCTTGCCCTTAGCCCAGTGGTAGGCTACTCAACTGTGACGTGGGAGGCCCCTAGTTCAAATACTCCCTCTGTCTGATGAGGAGACGGGATATGAACAGAGGTCTCCCACCTCTTGGTGAATGGCCTAACCACCAGGCTACGGAGTGATTCACTCCTTTTCTAGCCCAATTAATAGTTAAGTATTCAATTAACATGGAACAACTTCAACAGAAGAGATTGACAGAGACCCACCTAGTCCAATGGTTGGAGCACTCACCTGAGAGGTGGGAGAATCCTCTTCAGATTCCTTCTCCCTCTCAAGTAGATGGGGGACTTAAACCAGGCTTCTCCCATGACCTGGGTGAGTACCCTAACCACTGGGCTAAAGGTTACATGGGAAGTTTCCTCCTTCTTCCCCTCCAGCCCTGACCTGGCAGTTTTGTATGGAGCTATATGGCCTCTGAACACACTTACTGGATCTGGCCCAAAACGCAAGCTAGGAGCTCCTGTGCCCATATTCCTCTGGTCTGTGGATTGCCATGGGGCTTAGGTAGGAGATAGGTGCCAGGACACCTAGAGGGAGGCAGGAGTGTCCATGTCCAGAGGCTGAAATCTAGTCTAACCGAAAGAACCTCTCTGTGCCAATAGGCAAAGGGTTCACTATTCTATACCAGGCCTGATACACTCACTATACCCAACACATTGCTTTCATAGTATTTACCCCAAAAGGGTCATGTGAGATGTCTAATGGAAGCTTATCTCATACTGATCCTCCTAAACGTTGTGGGGTATATGTACGGGTGATATTTAAGAAGTTATATTGAAGTATGTTTAGAATCTGTGCGCCAGGCAGGGTTGACAAGCAGGTTTTGCCAGACAAAGGGTAATCCACTTTGTCTCTGATGTGTGTGAAGCAAACACAAAACGTGTAATGTCTAAAGGAGAAACAGGTTGACGTTGGGACACGATCTCAACATGGCAGCAGGGCACTGGCAATGAGTTCCACTGTCTAATTATGGGTTGTGTGGAAAAGTATTTGTAACTATCAGTTTTGAATTTGCCACCTTTTAATTTCATTGACTGTCCCCTTGTTCTTTCCATTTTATCACACAAAGTTCCCAACCTTTCTGTGTATCATTCAATTATTTTATACACTTTTATCATGTTGCCTCTTATTTGACTTCTTTCTAAGGTAAACAATCTTTCAATCTCTGTTCATATGAGAGCTCTTCCATGACTCAAATCATTCTTACCACCCTTCTCTGAACTCCCACTAATTCTACAATTGAAACAAAGTAAGTGTCAACTTGCTAATGTGTACAATGTGGTGCTAAGCAACCCTGTAATTCATAAATGTTATCTAAACTCAGCCCAGTATAATACAGGTTCATGACTAATTCAGTAAGCAAAAAAATACAAAAAACTAAACAAAAACCCCACAACATCACACAAGAGAAAATGTATTCCCGAAACAGGAGGCTTCATAACCAAAGAACATATTCAGTCAAAAATTTAGAAACCATGACAACAAATTCTGATGAACCTTAAAGTTCCAAAACCTAAAACTTCTTCACGCTGCTTTACTTCTCAAAACTAAAGACCTCACGCTGTCAACCTTACCTCACGTTGCTCAGTGGGACTACTGGTGGAGTAGGTTACTATTCAGTGTAAGAATGGAAGAATCAGACACAGAGTTCATGGGCAAAAGTCTGTGTTTCCGACATGGCATTAACTTGAGAACCTTACTCATACCCCAGTATGCAAGAGAATAATGCATTAGAATACAATTTTTCAAAAGCACTTAAATCCCATTGGGTTTCAATGAGACTTGGGCTCATACATGACTTAGAACCTTTTGAAAATTTATCATACATTTATATACTGAATCTTTTAAAAATGCACACAAAAGTACGTCTTAGCATGTTATTGTAGACAGAATATTTGGAAGGAAATCGGTATTCAAGCCCTAAAAGAATGAGCATTTCACTCAAGTTATACATCTCATGGATATTAATATAAAATTGCTGTGGAGGCAAATGACCATTCATCAAAAGAAACTAATTGCTTTTGACTACCTTTTCATATCAGACACTCTTCTCTATAGCCTAATTTTCGCTTCATATTTCTAAAATGCTCCAAAAAGACTTTGACTTTGACAGTCCTACAGACATCAATCTCTGCCTTTTCACTGAGTAATATTCTGTATCTTATTGAAACATATAGTGTTGGAAAATGTATCTTTAAGAAGAGTACAGCTGTTGTTTTTCAGTACTCTGTCATGTGCTTCTCCAAGGGCCCCAATTTCATCTGCAGGAGACCAATTTTCATGTGTGTCCAGGATATTTTAGAAGCCCACAGGGGTTTCTAAAGCTTCGGAATAGCAAGGAATTTCTTTACATATGACAGACTGGGGAAGGGGGAGGAAATTCTTCACAGATGTTTATCTTGGCACAATGCATTCTGCAGACCCGAGAGAATTCAGGCTTGAGAGTGAACTCTGGTCTCCTGTTCTGCAGGCCATTGCAAACTGAGACACATTGCACAAAGTTCTGGCTACCATTGTTGTCTTTCAGTAAACCAAACAGTCCTGAGGAATCTTACTCCGCTGCCCATTGGATTTCCCAATCTCAAATAATTTAAACCATTGCAGATTAAATTCCGCACTTGGATGCAGACACCCAGCTGCCACCGAAGTGAATGGGAAAAATATAACAATTTATTTGTCCATTTTCAAAAGCTTTCATGTGTTACCCAGAAAGATCAAGAAGCTCACAGACACCAGAGGGTTGCACACTGTTGCTTCTGTAGACCAAGCTCATTGCAAAGACCATGGACTCTTTGCATCCCTCCATTCCCCCCACAAGCACACAGTGTGCCAGCCACCCATTCCCCTCTATTTCAGGGACTCCCAACAACTCACATCCCTTCCTTCATGACAGGGGCTCTCTGTGGCCCCCAATTTCCCTCTACTGTCATACTAGAAACTCTGAATACCCCCCTTTCTCCCATTCTCCTCATATGTCAGCAGCTCTCTGTGCCCCCTGCCCCATTTCCTTTCTCCTCTACCATGCTAGGGCCTCTATGTGTCCCCTCATTCCTCCCTACTCCGCCCCTTCCCTGCATCATTCTCATTTTCTGACTGAGGGGGAGAAGCCTCTCAAGGTGATCACTCTATTGAAACAATGGGCAGAGTAGAGATGGGGAGTCAGCCAGTTCTTTGACCTATAGACAAGTCCAGAGATGGTGGGAGCTGCTGGCTCCGCTAACCAGATCCAAGGAGCTCCACGTGCCCCCCACGTCCAGCTTGTGGTGTTCCATTTTTCACCAAAATGAATAGGATTCTTCCCACTGATGCCTAGAACACTCCCTGAAATTTTGGAATTGGTAGGATGTAGCATTCAAAAGTTATCACATTACAGGCAGACAGAGAAATGCCTTCCAGTTGAGCATAAGCCCTTGCTTTGCTCACCTAATAAACAGCCAAAAACCGAACTAAAGTTCAGCTGAACCATTGCAGTATGGACATTGAACTAGAAACCCCATTATAAGCTCTCATGAAGTTGCCAGTGCATCTGAGCTTCAGCAGTGCTAAAAATATTGTTCAACAAGAATAAGCACTTCACCTCCCAGACCTAGTCTAAACTAGAGTGTGTAGAGAAATGGGGATTTTAAAAAGTTGCAAACTTTTGTACCTTTCCCACCCCCACAAAAAAAAAAAGCTTTAGATTTGGTTTAAAATTTGTGTGAAAATTCAGGCTGGTTCTTATTCAAGTGATACATAAATGCAGGTTATTTTATTCAGACTAGTTCATCTAGTGTTTTTAACCAAACACATGCACAACTCTGGCTCACTTCCAAAGAGATCAAAATCAGCATGGAACCACGATGCAAGACTACATCACTTACCAGCCCATTGCAAGTGCTGATCGCTGCTGGTCCATTCCCAGAATTTGGCTGCAAGACTGTACCAATGAGGTGACATGAGGTTCCTGTGTAAGGTACAATCTTTGCACCAGTGTGGTTCCCGTATCTCCTTTCCAATACATAGTTAGCAGAAAGGAATCCTCGATGGACAGTCAAGTTGAAAAACAGCTCCTTCTCCTTGTGATTAATTTTATAATACACAAGGTTTTCCTTTCTACTGAAGTCTCTTTTCCTCCTGGTATCTGAGGTGTGATGGTGTAAACTGTAAGAGAGAAAATGGCCGCTTGCATCTACTTTTGCAGGACCAACCACGTGGTATTCTTGCAGCATCCGGATAAAGTGCTCTGGAAAAAAAGCAATGGGGAAATTTTAGCTTTTCATAAAATCATAGAATCAAAGAACTGGGAGGGACCTTGAGAGGTCATCTAGTCCAGTCCCCTGCACTCATGGCAGGAATAAGTATTATCTAGACCATTCCTGACAGGTGTTTGTCTGCTCTTAAAAATCTCCAATGATCAAGATTCTAGATCTCCCCTAGACAATTTATTCCAGTGCTTAACCACGCTGACAGTTAGAAAGGTTTTCCTAATGTCCAGCCTAAACCTCCTTTGCTGCAATTTAAGCCTATTGCTTCTTGTCATATCCTCAGAGATTAAGAATAACAATTCTTCTCCCTCCTCCTTGTAACAACCTTTTATGTACTTGAAAACTGTTATCATGTCTCCTCTCAGTCTTCTCTTTTCCAGACTAAAAAAAGCCAATTTTTTCAATCTTCCTTCATAGGTCATGTTTTCTAGACCTTTAATCATTTTTGTTGCTCTTCTCTGGACTTTCTCCAATTTGCCCACATCTTTCCTGAAATGTGGCACTCAAAACTGCATACAATACTCCAGTTGAGGCCTAATCAGCGCAGAGTAGAGCAGAAGAATTACTTCTCATGTCTTGCTTACAACACTCCTGCTAATACATTCCGGAATGATGATTGGAGCCTCTGGCTGTTACCACAATTTGAGTACTAACTAATAGGTAGTAGCTGTTGCATAGTATTGGATATTAGTGAGGGGAAAGAATGCCGTGAATTTCTTCCCCCTTCTAGAGTCTGATAATAGTGACAGTGCGCTCATTCTTGTTCCCACTGATGTACGTGGAAGCTGTGCTCCGGAGGTCAGTGGGAACAAGAGTGGGCTCACCTCAGAGTAATTTAGGCCATATTTTGATCAGCTCAAGCTGTTATAATCTAACAGTGGGTGTCCTGTGAATTCTAAATCTCTGTTTGAGTAAATTAAATTCACCAATACAAATATGAAAACTTATAAAACTTCAGGAGAGAGCACTTGTTTCTCTCTCTCTCTCTCTCTCTGTAGGGTAGAGAATTGATGTTGTGTTTGAAATGTGAAAGGATGTGAATGGGAGAAATGTTAAGCTTTTAAAGTTGGTGTTAAAGAGGGAGAGTGTAAAAAGCCCAAATGAAAAGCTGTTGTATTCAGGCCTGATTTTCCACTGCACAGCACCCCCTTATGCCTGTGGAATGGTGTGGAAAATCAGCCCCTCCCCCATGAGTTTCCCTTTCATGTATGTGAGTTCTGAAATGATAAAAGCTTTGGAGTATAAAAGTAAAGCTTTTGATACTGTCTCGCATGACCTTCTCCTAAACAAACTAGGGAAATGCAACCTAGATGGAGCTACTATAAGGTGGGTGCAAAACTGGTTGTAAAACTGTTCCCAGAGAGTAGTTTTCAGTGGTTCACAGTCATGCTGGAAGGGCCCTTAAGCCAATTTTGTGTTGCTGTATCACAACATAACATTACAGAGTTGGTACTGAGAAGAAATAGTCTATTTCCAGGATTCTGAACTGCCTACATTTTGTAATGAGAAATGAGGTGGGTATTTACAGGCCTGTTAACAGTAAATTTATAATGAATATAGATTTCAGCAATGAAATTTTGAACTGAAATATAGCCTAATTGCTTCCAGAAAGCAACAACATGACAGTCTGAGTTGTCTGCACGGTGCTTCATTGACCTCAACTTTAAAATCAAGTTGTCTGCCACAGGAGCGTTGCAAGTACAGAACTGCAAGTTCAGACTCCAAAAGATATGACCTGTTGTAGCCAGGGAGACATTTCTGCACTGGGGGCTGGGAAGTAACTTGCACAACACTGTAAGGTTTGCAGTCTCTAGTGTGAGAAGCAGCAACGCTGATCTGGGGAAAGTAAAACAGTCACAAAGCTCCATGGAAGTTAGATTCTATAAGTGAAACATTGTGTAAATACAGACGGGGAGACTACTCCATACAAAAGAATAAACTGAATATATTTACTTAGATCTTGGTGACCTTGGTTTATTTACATCAGAGGTGGGGGGAGAAAGGACACCGAGTTTGCATCAATTAAGCATAACTTTAATTAAAATGAGAGAAGCCACTGACCTTGCCTCTTGTCTGGAAAGAAAAATCTGCCCGGTGGAGGATTTCTACCATAGCAGAGCGCTTGCATGAGAAGGAACTGGACCCAAAAGGAAAAGTTGGCAATCCAGTTTCTCTGCACACATGGCATGTTTTAGCTGGGGGAAATCAACTGAGTGTATTCAGCAAAGTCCTAGCTGGAAAGAAAACTGTAAAGGTGCATGGCCAAGGGAAACTAATGCAGAGAGAGAGAGAGAAAGAGGCGCTTCCTCACAGAGAAAGAGCAGAGAAGCTTTTCCTGAAAAGGGGAGTGATTAGGAGTTCTGGTGTCTGATTTCTGCAAGGGGAGGAAGGAGGGTTCAGCAAGGAAGTTGCTTCCAGGGAATCTTTCATTAGTGGGTTTTATCCCATGAAAGCTTATGCCCAAATAAATTTGTTAGTCTATAAGGTGCCACAAGGACTCCTCATTGTTTTTACAAACAGCAATGTTAGTGCCAGTTCCCATGCACCCCAGCTCAACCTTCAACCCCTCCAGCAGTTGATTCGTCCCCTGACAGAGAAAATCTGGGACAAAGGCTGCATGGGTCTGTCCCTGGAGGGAGGTCCAAAGCCGTATATGCAGTGAGGCCAGGCTGCACTAGCTCTGTCCTGGGAGCACTGAGCCTGTCCCTACATGCTTCCTTGGATGCCTTCAATTCCCACTTTATACCTGCTGTCCCCCGAATACACCTAGCTCCAACTCCCCATGCAATACCTGCCTACCCCTGAGCACTGACCAGGCTCCAGGCTGAATCCACTCTCCCTTTGGTGTGTCGGTTCCAGCCCCCAAGCTGTAATAGCCCCACCTACGGCACCCCCTGCCACAGCCTCTCTGCCTGAGATTCACTCAGTGCTACCACTCTCCCTATGCACCTATTCTGCCAGGTGAGCAACCAGTTCCCATCCTGTTGTTGTGAGGGAATTCTAATACCGGTGATTGCATCCTGACTCCTTACGCTCCAAGAACACAGCAAGCATTCCGGACTAGAACTGTAACACATTGTGAGAAATAAATCAAATCAAGGTGTTTGCAGAAGCAGAAAGCAATTTCATTCTCTTGTAGATGCAGCCCACGTCTTCCCCACCTCCTTCCCTGCACGGCCTCCCTCTATTTTTGTATTTCCTCCAGTGCTTATTTCCGAGTCAGATTATAAACTCCACAGGGCAGGGCCCATGTCTGGAAAGCACATAGTACCCATTACGGTGCTGTGTCAATACCCATCTGAACAGGGTAGTCTTCCCTTCTCCTATGGAAGCTTTTGGGCAGTGTTGTGTGAAATAGCTGTTCATTTCACCCCAGAGGTGGCAGCATTTCATTGCTAGGTCAAATGATCCCACTATAGTTTGCACATCAGTGTGGCAGGCTGACAAACAGAAATACCTCCACATCTCTTGAGTTCTCTTTACATCGTCAATCTTTCATTTCCAGGGCTTTGCCTTTTCCTGGTCCTTTGGAAGTGTAGGGTGGGAGTGGGCGGGGAAGGCCCAAAGTCCCTTTTAATAAACAAAACTTCCCCTCCCAGAGGTTACTTTCCCCCTTTCCTGCCTTGCAACAAGATTCAAAGTAAAATAAGGTGCTCCTTCCATGGGTTCTTTTCCACGTCAAAACCACAGGACTCAGACATATTATACTTCCCTGTCTATAGATTCCTCCACAGTCTGGCCTCTCCTATAGGGAAGGAAGCTGCTTATATTATCTTCCCAGCCTGTCTTGCTGCAGTGGTCTATAACTCTCAGATGCCCTCGAAAACAATAATTCCTAGCAGCCCTTGTAAGGTTCCCTTCACTCTGCCCTCTAGTGATGTCATGCAATAACCATACAACTCTTATTAAGACATTTTGTGTTTATGAACCCAGATTAGATTAAACTGATTTTATAGACTTTCTTTTTTCATGTTTTATCCTCCTAGTGTCACTAGAGGGCAAAGCTAAGGTTGTCTGGGTGCCTTAGCATCTTTGGATTTCTTTTTGGTTTAACCTTCACTCTGAATTCCCTGGGTTTGTAATGCTTGTTTTAGGTAACACTCTTGTCATTTGTTTCACCCTTCACTGATATCTACTCTCAAACTTCACTCCAATTTCATATCATTTTTATCTGGATTATAGTTTTGCCACGTTGCCCCCGTCTACCTATACACACACTTACCCAAGGCACAGCTTTAAGGCTATACTATGCCATTCATTTCCAGGCAGATCTTCTCATTAATTTTAATGGGCGCTTCTGCTGAACACTGATGGTGCAATATGATGCTTAATGATTTTCTGGCAACTTATGCTTATGATTGCTTATTAGGGAGACAAGGTGGGTGAGGGAACATCTTTCATTGGAGCAGTTTCTGTTGGGGAGAGAGACTGGCTCTGGAACTCACACAGAGCTCTGCTTCAGGTCTCATTATCACTTATTTCATTCGGTGTGAAACAGGCAAATCCAACTGAGAGGGAAATAGTCACCTCAGTTTAGCTGTCTAATGAAGCTCCAGAGAATCAGGCCTTAGGAATGTGTTAAAATGCAAGCTTTCAAGCCAGTAGGAAATGCAGCTCCTTGCAGTCATGAGAAACAAGACGTGTTTACAAAGGAAAACTGATACTTGATTAATGAGCCTTAATGTGTATTTTGCTAGTTAATGGAAATGCACAATGAGGCTACATAGGAGAACTGCAATATTATATAGTATATGATTATCAGCAGCGCTCTTGAGAAGGTTTGTTCACTATAATGTCATTTCTTTATTTTAATACATAGTTCCTGACAGGGGAGCTGGAACAATTTGTAGGAGGGCGCGGGATGCTGGGAGCCATTGAACCAAACTGTAAACCCTTTATGTGATGGAAACCACTTCAAGCCAGGGGGTGCAGTAGCACCCCCAGCACCCTTGGTTTCAGCACCTGTGGTGTCTGATCTGTTATATATAAATAATGTATTTAGACTGTAAGCTCCTTGGGGCAGAGACCATCTTCTACTCTGTGTTTGGTTGGCCCTTAGGCATTAATGTAATAAACATTATTAATAAAATAAAACACTAATAATGAAATATTGTGTGGTATAATGATGACTACAGGGGCCTGGGAGTCAGAAATCATTGAAGATTCTGTTTGCAGCTCTGCCACTAATCTGCTTTGCAACATTGAAAATGTCATTTAACCAGCCTATCCCATTATTTACTCATCTCCAAAATGAATTCAGTAATACCTACCTGCTTCACAGGGGCCTGATGCAGTTTGCAGTGCTCAGTGTTCTGACAGCATGTACAGACTGTTGGAGGAAACATTCCAAACATGTCCCTATTATTATTCTAGAATTATTTGATTGGAGAAAAGAGAAGACTGCACTGAAGTAAATGATCTAAAGTGCAAGAGGACAGCAAGGTGAGCAGAAGCAAGGACTAGAAGAGGAAGCATGGTCCAGTAGTTAGCAGGATAAAGGATAGAGGATAAAACTCCCTGCTCCACAACAGATTTCCTGTCTGACTTGGGCACAGGGCCGTCCCTGGGGGGGGTGCAGGGCCAGGGGCAGAAGTGACGAATCCGTCATTTCCGGGACCAACCATGCCAGCCAATCGCACCGGCCCACGGGGCCCCCCAAAGCATGGCTCTGCTTGGGCAAGTCTCTCAGTTCTTCAACTGTCACGTGGGAAAAACAGCACTTCCCTACCTCACAGGGAGTTGTGAGCATAAATACGTTAGAGACTGTGAGGTGCCCCAATACCTTAGAAATGGGGGTCATGTAAGTACTTACGACAGACTAGCTCCTTAGAAAGGGATTGGAGAGGTGCTGCAAATTAGCTAGTTAACATTGTCCAAATTGTGCACTTCTCATGCTGTATTTGTAGACCTGTTAAGTATAATAGACACATATACCTCCCCCACTTGAGCACTGAAACTGCAAACCAGCCTTTTTCAGGGTTCTCTAATTCTAATCAAAAAGCTCTGACTAGGAAGAGAGAAGAGGGGAAGTCATGAATTGTCGAAGGAAGCAGTAGGGAAAGGCATGGATCTTTGAAGATGGGAGATGGGAGAAACTAAAAAGCGTGTTTTGTTTGAGAATCAGCGGGCAATGAGGCAGTGAAAAGTGAGTCATTAGCTTGAAAACAAGGCTGAGTAAGAAGCAACAGGAGCTTGCCTGAGAGCACTAGCCTCGAAGGAGAAAATTCATTAGTTGCCAGCAGAATGTAAAAGGAAAAGCATATCCAAATTCATGAGCTAGTCCGATAGGCAAGAAAGACTTGCTCCCATGCTGAGAGATGAAACATGACAGAGGCTAACACTCAATCAATATCACTCACCTGAGATCACAAGGAGCATCCATCAAAGAAAGGATATGTCTGAAGTTGGAAGCAAATCATGAAATACCCCATTGCTGAAAGATGGCTTTTGATGGCTTGCAAGAAGTTTGGCCCCTTGTCCCAGAGAAAATAAAGGACTGGTGCCTCCACGGGCAGTATGAACATTTCCAAAACTTCAGTCCCTTTCTCCATGTGAAGTCATATGCATCTCTTGGTCTTGCCCTTGGTAGTGTAATTTCATTATTTTCCATGTATTATTACCCTGTGTTGATTTTTGACTGATTATGGTCTTTTATTGTATTTCTGTTGTATTACTCCTGATTAATTATATACCTCTGTATAATGTTGTACCTCTCTGTAGATGAGTGGAGTATCTGTGTGGCTTCTTTTGGTTTGGCATTATGTTTAAATACTTTGCTTTACTGTTTTTGACAAAAAGCATTCAGACTGTGATGACCTGTGAAAGCTGTGGAATTCTGATTGCAAGCAATAGGTGCAGAGATAGACAAAACCTGCACGAGCTGTATATCAGTACAGGAAGAGAGAGGATGATGATAACCTAAACAGAGATGTTGCCATTAGAGAAGACCAGTCATTTATAGTTAAGACAGTACTCTAGATACTGGATGGATATGATGCAAGTTAAACAAAGACGTGGGAAGAAATACAAGGTAAGAATTTTGAACCTGAGGGTAGCATGTGGACAAACATGTGCTTGAAGCAAAGATCACATTCCAATTCATGCAGCCTGTAACTCTTGTGCCAATGGTACTGGCAGCAACAAGGGCCAGGTCCCTCTTTCTAGGGGATTCTCTACAATTTGCTTAACTTTGGCTTGAACCCTCACCCAGTAACCTGGGAACCTATATTCACTCTGGGTGCCTTTGATGGCTCATCTGTCCCCACTTGTAAGCACATTCAACAGAGGTCTCAACA